GTAACCCCGTCGCTGGAGGTTAACAAACCACATTGATACTAATGACCATCATCTTTCATGATCAACACTTGTCGCATTTTTTAAACGCTAGTTGGAAAAGTTATAACGGGAGACTTTCAATGGCCTCTATCACATCCAGACAGAAGAGTAAGGTGGATGTATTGGTAAGGGAATCGGGTTAGCATATCAGCATCTCACTCATTTCTTCCCTGCCATGTAAATTGGACAGGTGTCCTTTTGCAAGAGAAACTAAAGCCAACGTCCGCGGCATTGGATGTAAAACACGCGTTTAGTTCAAGTGAATTGGTGAGCTGTCTCTCTTGATGCACTCGCTCATTCGTCAAGCAGTCCCATGTCGCTGTTTGGGCCCTGGGCTTTCCGTGTATGATTCTGTTCAATTTGGAACCCAACACGAGGTTTATAGTTGAGGCCAGCGCGTGAATGAGCCACCTTGGGGTATGTTTGAACAACTTGGTTCCTTTTTCAAAACGCAGCCGTGACTTGTTATCACTCAAACGGGCAGTTCTCCTAGGCGCTTGCTGTGTCAGCGGAAACCACCGTGCTTTCTGGAAGGATCTGGGAGCAAATTGAGTCTCCGCAGGCAACACAGTATACTCTTCAACTTAAACCCCTTTACAACATCGGAATACGATATCGTCCAGTCCCCATTAAACAATAGAGGCTGGCTTTGGGGCTTGGTTTGATGTGAACAAGAAAGCAAGCCTAGACATTACACTACTAAGAATATTGAGGAAGGTAGGGCCTAGGGGCATGTACCAGCTGAAGTAAAAACTTTTTTCAATAGTATCCTTTATCATGACTTTTGGCATGAGCTCTTACCGCCATTTCTTTTTCATTTTCAGATCATAACAAGATGGAAGCTCACTCATGTTGTTGAAGTTGACTTTGACAATTTTGCAAAGAATCATCCGTAAAAAAACATTTGACTCATAAAGTGATATATTCCTGGAAGATCTGTCGTCATTGTAAAATAATATTATGAGCTGATGGGTTTACTTTCAGAAGGCATTTGAGTGGATATTTCAAAACACTATATAAGTGAACCCTCAAGTTGGCATGATGTGCCTTGGTTCAAGATAGGATTAGCTCTTGATCTTTGAACATGTCCAGCAGCTCGCCGCTGGAATACACACCAACGGTGACGGCAACTTCTGTATTCCTCAACAGCACCCGGCCTACGGGTGTCCTCGTCAAGTATGTATGTCCTTCAATAGCCGTTACCATTCAGGGTAACCCATATTACATGACTTATGCTCTATTTCCGCCCGATCTACACCCTACCATCACTCTTCCTCGTGTACGACCTTTGCAAGGTGTCACTCCAATTTCAAGCCGGACCGTGCACACACTGTAATCTGTCTCCGCAAAATAGATCGTTGATGCCGCCGAGTCTCCTGGACCAGCACGTCGTCTGTGAAGACTCTTGGTCTCTACACATTACAGACACTTTAAATGCACAAATGCACCATTGGGCGCCAACCATGTGGACAATCTAAATATATCTAGATCGTTCTGAAATTGTAAGCTCCCTGAGTCATGGGTACCACAAGGTAATGCTAGGACGGTGTCCGGACAGGGGCAATGCAACCGCGCGCTGTAGTGGCTCATGTTTGCAAATGCATGTATGATTCGATTGTAGCTGTAGTCTTGTATCCTGCTATACATCATAGTCTTACCTTAGGATCTGTTCTGTATGACATTACAGAATCAGAACCATATCACAATACACCACATTGGCCGGGGCCAGCAAATGAAAGCTGCAACAGACATGGAAACCTCATGTATCAGAAATAAGGATTGCCTTCGTATGTGTGTCTATAGTAGTGGAGATTGTACTATTATATTTTATTCTATTTTCTTTCATTCCAGGATCTATTCTATATTGTTCCATAAACATGGTCAATAAGAGATAGGCATTGTCTATCATCTATACATTTGCTCCTGTATGGAATTTCTTCTTTGTTTAAGCTGTATTCAGCACACTTAATTCTCCCCATCGTAGCCACAATGTTGAGGTTTGTGCTCTATACATTCATTACACACCTTGTCACTTAAATGATTTTGAGAAATTTCACAACACCAACTGAGACAGCCCAATGGATATTTCTGTATGTGCGGCAAAGACGAACAACGACGGTAAAGCTCTTCTGCTATTTAACTGCAGTCCTTCTGGAGTTAATTAAGTCAAAGTTTATGAACATTCACTGCTTAACCTATCCTGATAGGCGTTTCAATATTCTGATAGTCGTTTCAATGCACATAAGATCATCTCCCCCAACAGCCAACATAGCGGCACACTGTCTGGTACGGGCTCTTACCGCCGTATGCCGCCTGCGAGATCAGCTAATAAAGGTCCTTATCAAGTCAACTGCCACCTGGTCCCGAGAGGAAAGTGTGGGTTCTGCACAACTCCCGGTAGAATTGCGGGGATAAATTGAAGCACCAGACCAGAAGAAATGACATCCAATGGTCCTATCATCCCTTCATTATCGACGGAACATCTATCACAGGATCATGTACTGTATACTTTTTCATAATCAATTTTACGTCCCTGCTTTTGATGTGTCTCACAAACGCTGCATGCAGTCGTTTCTGTTATGGTATGAATTATGTTTACTACTGTAACATCACATCTTACAATTTTTTTCGAAGTTTTTATTTCTTTCCCAGATTATTGTTTTACCCAATTAAGGACGCTTGAATAGCTCCAGCGGGGTGTTGGGGGAATATAGACATACATTATTCACCTTGATTATATATTTCACGTCAATGAATTGTTCATCCATGATAGCAACTGCATATATTTGTGCATTGTTGCATGTATGTATCTGGCAGTAGGTTTATACCGTCTTTACTTGTCTTGGTGATGGCGTCCAATGGCTTTGTTCAATTTCAGTGCAAACGTCATGTATCTGTTGTCTATTATATGTATAGCTAGTGTTTACAGCTGCAGATACAGAACATGGTAGATGATGCTGATAATGATAATAAACAGCTGCAGATACAGAACACAGTTAGATTACTATAAATGAATTAGTGTTGTTCTCTTGATGTCTTTAGTTTTCAAATGATTAGGGTTTTTAAGGCGAGAGGGACCCTTACAGTTTAGAGGAGATTTAGAGATTTTATCCTTGATCACAAAGCCCTAAAATCATTAACTGTCGATTTCGCGTTGTTGGACTATCGATATCAATAATCACATTGATGTCAATTTGTAAAATCAACCATTACGAGTTATACAGGGAATCCAAATCAAATTATTCCGCAGACGACGAGTCTACGTGTCCAAATTTTCATAAGCATAACTGATTCTATTCATATGACGACATTGGTATGCCCAGGAGGCACGAAAGACGCGGATGCTGTGTAAAGCCATGCGTGCATGGGCATGAGAGGTGCCCCCACACACTGCTACAAACGTGTATCCATTAGCCGGAACGTTTCGCCTTCATGGTTTTTGTTTTCAATTTTGTATGAAGGACGGCGTGGGGGACGATGATGATACCTTGCTGAGCTGTATATCACCTTATCCTCCACGTAAATCAAAATTACAACATGCTGTAGGGAATTACACCTTTTCCCGTAACCATATACATGTACCCTCTACACTACGGTTATAATTTTCTCCTTTGTAGGGCATAAATTGTCACCGGCCTTTCCCGTCTGTTATTATTTCAAAAATTCTATGAAAGTCAAATGCTTTCGTTGGAATTCTCAATGTGACATACGTTCCGTCTTATGAAAGCGAAGTTGTTTCTAATAGACCAATGATATAACATACTGATAAAGGCAAATAATTGTCATAGTTCAATTTTGATGCATTTTTAGTACATGTCTAATTACCAAATATTGCGAGTGTTGATTGTGGTAGGTTTGGGGGGAAAATTACGAGGTACCCTTGCCATATGTTTCGAACACAATTATTGAGGATTACGCGTTTTTATTACTTTCAATATTAAGAACCTTAAATTAACGACGCAGAAATTTGTAAAGACGGTTCATACTGTTGCTGGCTCTTAATTTTAATTTTTTTTCTCAGACTTTTCAGAGAAGTTTGCCTCATGTCATAGATCTGTGCCGTAAACACACTCATAGTTTATTTACACCTTCCCTCCTTAATAACACTTCAAGTACAACATCATTAGATGGAATAGGTCATATTTATCAGAACTGCGAAACGCATACGTAGAGCAATTATTTCCCGTCATTGACGAGATCAAATGTGAAGGTTCTGCTACTAAATACGACGTTAAGTCTCTCCTATCTCTGCTGCTGGGGGGGAGTTAAGCCGGCGTGATATGGTCGGAGCTTGTAGGCTGATTGAGTTTTTCTGTACACCCAGTGAACTGAACTGCCCCCTGCAAAAACCCACCGTGGAAAACTTGGCCAGCATCGCAAAACACGAAGCCAGTAGAGATTTCAGTTCATGGCCACAGGAAATGGCAAAAGCTATATTATAATAACGTTCTATAGCTAAGATTGAATCCTGCAGCCCTTCAGCTAATGGAAATCATCGTTGGCATTTAGTTTTCCTCTCCCGAACCACCCTCAGGGTATCCGACGTGATCTCTCCAGGCGCACGTTTCCCAGACTGATGCCGCTGTATATCCCCAGTATCTAAAGGGGATTTTGTTACTCATTTCTACCCTGGTCCCCTCGTATACAGTAGCTCATCTAACTTTCAGATGAAGTAAGCTGCTGTAATGGGTATGATATAGAAGGAATTGGTCCTTGGAATGATTTTTCAACTGTCAGAGGGAGTAAGTTGATATTCTCATGCGGTGGCCATATCGTCCGCACTACTTAGACATGCAGGTGAGGATGGAATGAGATTTACCGTAGCGGGGCAAGAGTAACGTGATTACAGTGATTATCTCATGAACGCTATTCATGTTTTAACGCGACGGTTATTTGTACGTTTAATCCCTGGGATAGGGATCAAGGTGATAAGGACAGAAAGCGTGTGTGTGTGTCCATACCAAGTCCACCTCCGAGATCTGGTCAATACTGGCGATCTGCATACTGACGAGGACATCCACAGCGGGACCTGAGGGGAAGAAAGAAAGAATGATTTCATGGTTTCTCATAACTGACTTCTCGTAAAATGTCTACAGCCTGTACTCATCGACTCTACTGGTAAAACAAACCGGGATGGCTTCAGCCTTGACGGGGACGTGCGGAACGGGCGGAATTCGAGCTGACTTACCGCCGAAATTCGGTCGGAGATTGCGGTCATAACCCTTCAACAGATTTTCGATGGCGCTGGTCGTCGGCGTGGTGGTTGAAAAGAATTTTGCTGATGAATTATTCTGGCTCCTGTGGAAGGACGAAAACAAAGTACGTACACGATGTCATCCTGTGAAGACGAAATTTCAATTTTCTCTGTACTTCATTATGTCAATTTCCCCCAAAAAAATAGCCTAATAGTATCGCCTTTCCAGTAACCATACATACATACATGCAACAATTAAAATTTTAATAAAACTATTTTTCTAATAAGCACTGTATTCCGGAAATTAATAGTAATTCAAGACGTTGCTGTTACCAAGTCCAGAAAGTAATGTTTCAAACATACATCTGTTGTGGATTGAGTTGTAAGTATCAACTTTAGAATAAAGTCAGAAGAACAAAAACGTCTGGGAAATCTGAAAACACTAGAAGACAAACACCATATAGGCTCTATAGTTGCCTACCCGGGGAATGTCCCAGCCGACACGTCCAGGCACACACAGATCACACACAGGCACAGGTACGCACGGCGGTACGGGAGGGCCATTCCTACAGACATCCAAGTGCTGAAATGGGCTATCACAAGAGAAGTGCGGCTTGAAGTGGGCCTGTGAAGATGGAGAGAGATTCTCCCACGGGTTCCATAAAAGAGTTTCTAATGGAAATGGCTGCTGCTTCACTCTTCCGAGTGGAGCCGTATCCCATTGGCCATGAGGAGTACAGGCGAGGCACTGGGGATCACGGTAGCGCTGGCAACTCTCCCACATCCCGGTCCACCGGTACAAAATACATGCAGGCAGGAACACCACTGCTGTACATCAGCGCCGGCCCTGCTCACTCAGAACGCGGGGCGGGGCCTCATCGGCTGCCGCTCATTGGGTGCCGGCATGACGACTACACTGATGAGCTGGATCTGTCTAGAAATGAATGTACGCCCCGTTTATGCCCCGGTGGCTTTCAATCAATACTTGCAGCCGTTCCATAATGTTCGAAGGCGGCGTATTAAATAGCTCTGGCTGTCCCAGGATAGATGTGAAATTTGTTACCATGTACGAGTGCATGGTCTCATTGGAGGCGCTTTGCATCCATATGAAGCGCACTCGCAAAAAAGTGCACTGCGTGGATTTACCTTATTCCCATGCTTTGACGAGCGACAAACTTGAAGTGAGGAATGGCTCAAATTGGTACGGACTGCCGTCAGATTCAAATTGCATTTTGTGCGCCCGTGATGTCCTGAAGCCTTTATTTGATGTAATCGCGTGTTCTCCATTCAGACGTAATCCGTTGCGATGTGTCACGGTCAGTTCTGGATAGAAAGAGGTAAATTACACGCTTAACGCGACTTAACTGGTCTGGTATATTCCCTTCAAACGTCACACGGATCCCCGAGACAAATCGCTTCGACAGCAGCTGTCTATAGCTATGCTATCCCTCTATACTCGTCCCAGACTTAATACAAAAGAATAACCTATCGTCACGTGTCCCCGCTTATTCATCGAGACATTATCATCATCAACATCGCCGGAATAGTCGTGCAGTGTAATTGAAGTAACTATTAAATCGCGTGCTTCTTTGATATGGTAATTAGTGGCTTGCTATGGATTTCATAATGTAATTTTCCGTCACATTGCTGTACCTTATAGACATGCAGATTTTTGTAGTTGCACAATGTAGTTGAAGGACAAGCAAGGATTTATCGATTTTTTTTTGTACAGACCCTAATAGACCATAATCAGTGATGGAAAGATAGGTTGCGGCAATCCATCGGTTGATGAAAGTTACTGTCTGGTAGGCTGAGATGTAGGAAACGATTCTCACATTTCAGATGTTAATCTTGGATCGATGACAAAATCCTTTTCTCTGGAGTGTCTGTGAGTGGAATAACTAAAACAAAAGGAGTGAAAAGCATATATTACACAGCAATTAAACATAGCAGCTAGAAACAAATCAATCTATGTCTGACTATTAACTTGCTTCTTATCCCTGTAACCAGATGCAAAAAGGTATATATAACCTTGGCAGGGAGAAAACCTAAAGAGCCGGAAAAACAAATAGTGATAGAAGCTCTCAAGGACAGCATTTGTAGTTTTCAAAACAAGAAGCATGTAATTCTGGGTGACCATCCATGGGAGCTTTGTGTGTTTTCTAGTGCCCGTCCTTCGCTTGTGTCTACCGACTGTACGAGGACGGGCGATCGTACAGAAAACGAGCTTGCTCAGCCCTGGCTGAACCGGATCAATGGACATACCGACTGCTGCTTGACGAAGATACGCTCATAGGTCATTTTTCTTCCCCGATAAGAATTTTGTGTCCCTTCTCTTGGTGAGAACACAAATCACAGAGATAGACCGTATGTTATCTTATTTGCCGTGGCTATACGCACGTCCGTCCCTACCTACGATAGTCCACTGGTGTGCCCCCTATTGAGGCTGTGCCTGAGCTGGGTGAACCTCGTCATTGGTGAATGATGGTAGCGGCCTGTAAGGTCAGGGAACAGAATGTCAATGGTATAAGAGAACACACGTCGCTTCAGTAGCAGAAAATGTATCAGGACTTTAGAGTGGCAACTTTTAAAAATCATTTTCATTTATTTCAATGGGATAGTATGTTCTCACACGAAATTGTACTTCTCATACATAGTAGCAGAAAATGTCTCAGGACTTCGGAGTCACAACTTTAACTTTTAAGCTTCTTTTGTTTTATTTCAATGGAGCATATTCTCACCACCACGAAGTTGAATTTCTCATCCACAGTAGCAGAACATTCTGTGGACTTCGGAGTCATAACTTTTAAACTTCTTTTCATTTATTTCAATGGGATAGTATATTCTCACCACCACGAAATTGGATTTTTCATACTCAGTAGCAAAAAATGTCTCAGGACTTCAGAGTCACAACTTTTAACTGCGTTTCATTTATTTCAATGGGACAGTATATTCTCACCACCACGAAATTGTACTTCTTATACACATTAGCAGAAAATTCTGTGGACTTCGGAGTCGCAACTTTAAATTTAAAACTTTTCTCCCTCGACTTCTTTGGCCCTTTGTAGGTCCCTAAAGGACAAGCTTGGAAGCTACAGTATCAGGATGTCTGACGCAGTGTGCAGCTAGTTTCATTACGGGAGTTTTTATTTTCTATGTAACTGCAGGCAAATCCTGATATAGCTGCTCGTTCTGGAGTTTTTGCTCCCAGGAAATGTTCAGACACATACGGGGCATCTTCGTGTGGTGGCCATTTATACGCTTCTTGAAGGATTAAGTAAGTAGAATTACCTCCCCTTGACAAATGTGTCAAGATAAGGTATTTCGCCCCAAGTTGGGAAACATAACCCGGAGACATCCCCCGGTGACTAACGCTTCGCTTCATTGCCCGGAAGACTCTTTTAATATCATTGAGATGTAATCCTATTACAGCAACCCAATCGGCAAATATGAATATTAGCATCTCAAGAGGCTCAGAAGGGGAATATACGCAGTAAGTGTTTTATTTTATCATTGTTCTCAATACATCATAATCAAAATTGATAAATTACTTCGTCAAGCTTTATCTCTTTCCTACATGTGTTTTTAGAGCCACATGTTTTATTGACAATATGAATTATATACCTTCACATCAGCTGGAAATATAGTATTCCCAATATACCTACAAAGTGATCAATAAAGACCACCTGTCTCTGAACTCGCCTCTGATGGCGTTACAATATCCTGTCACTGTGCGAGTGATTGTAATGCGGCAATTTAACAGCAATCATCTAGCTCTGCCAAATTTTCCCCATGGGTGTATGATCTCCTGTGTTTCGGCCTGACGAACTGAGTTTATTTGTTTCTTCGTGCAGCGATTGAGAGAACATTGGGCAGAACGGATGAACGGTTGACTTTATTTAGTCATCAATAACAATCACATCGGGCTCCTGTAGCGTGAAAGCCTGGCGCCGATGCTTGGTTACGGGGGTAATCAGATAACGAACAGTTACTGCTCATGATATGACGTCTATCTACTTCGACCAGCAAAAAATCGCTCTGCTGGAGCCCAATTTGAAGGACAGTTTGTAAAATTAATGTTCTTATACATATGCTCAGTATTCTGAAATAAACATCGTAATTTGTGCCCTAAACAGTTACTCAAGCAACTGTTTCTGGTGTATCTTATTACCTGAATGTTTAACATTTGTGTTTTCTATTATATTATTCCAGTGACTTTTGGCATCAGATAGATAAACATTCAGAACGTCTATGTTTGGTCCTGATTATATCAATTCAAATGTACTGAACGTCCCAATACATGTACGTGTGCGTACCTTGTTATGTAACTAGAATACATCAGTGACAACAACGTTGTTTGTTACAACGCAGTACTACTCTTTATGAATGATCCCAGCGCAAGTTAACGAAATATGATTACTCAAATCACCCATCCACTTTTGTCAATCCATATGTATTTATCACGTATAAATTATTCATCGCCATGTAATTACTACATAATCGGGTCATCTAGCCTTTATCGTTTTGTAAAGAGAGATGACATAGAACTGAAAGGGAATCGCATTGATAGCACGTATACCACTTAACCTCATTGTGCCCTGGTCTGCATGAAGTTACCTAATGCTTCATGCCACTGCTGCCCCATGCATCGTGTTTGGTAATGGATAATGGTGGAATGATTTCCCCAATGATCTGTTGAACAAATACTATTTGATTCCCAATTGAATCATTTCCAAGCCAGCAAAATAGAACATTGACGATGTTCATATCTTTCATTAGGAATATTCAAGACAATCCTAGGCAGTATATGGTCGATGATAGATTTTTTTTTATATTCCAACATCTAATCACAAGACGTGGTGACGGCACACCCAAGTTTTATCAACTTATATTAATGCCGCCACCAACACAGGGGACAATACAATAACGTTACTCATTTTCACCGGAGTGAAGTGAGGAAAGGCGTGTAAAGTGACTTTCCAAAGGGCACAAGATCGGTGACATGTCAGGATTCGAATCCGAGACCTCTTGATCCCGAGTCGAGCACTCTGCCGCTACGCCACACGACCCTACAATCGATGATAGTTGCCTTTTAACTTAAAAATCCCAATTCTAATCACAAGTAAAAATGAAAATAAACATCAAATTAAGTAACCTATCAGCATGAAAGTTCATCTGAGTTGGTAAATTACATTATGAAAAAACTTAAATACTTCAAGAGAGGCATAAAAGAGGCTATATACATCAGGTCACCTCAACCATCGCTCAACTGGGACGGGGGTCGATATCGACTTCAGACAACCTTTGACCCTTTGCTGACGTCACACGTGGGAAAAATTACTTGTCCACAGCATTTGGGTCAGATAGCTGAGGAAGACTGAGTGATTCAGTCGAAAATTTCTGGTGAGTCAAATTTTGAGTTGGAGAACAGTTTAAGTTTTTCATTAAGTAACCTATGTATGGATTGGCTGTACCTTGTAGTTCGTCCCCTAACGTATAGTTGATTACCCCAGGCTTTCTTCTAGGCACTACGCAACGTTTTAAGGTGGGTTATTTTTGGAACAGAAGTGAACACACTCTAGCTATCTAGACACCCTCTTACCTCTTCTTCACAAGATCGATAATCACGTCTTGTTTCATCATGATGGAATTGTTGTATTAACGCGCA